AGTAGCTGGGACTACAGGCATGCGCCACCATGCCGGGCTAATTTTTTCTATATATATATTTTTAGTTGTCCGGATCATTTCTTTCCATTTTTTAGTAGAGACGGGGTCTCGCTCTTGTTCAGGCTGGTCTCGAACTCCTGACCTTGAGCCATCCACCCGCCTTGGCCTCCCAGAGTGCTAGGATTACAGGCGTGAGCCACCGCGCTCAGCCAAAACAGAAATCTTGATCTTCACTCATGCTCAAGCCCATTGCACCGACCAGCCTGCTCCCCCTCCACAGCCCCCATCTCACCTCAGTACAAGCCCCGCTGCCCTCACCTCCCCCAAGCGCTGAGCAGGGGTCACCTTTGCTCCTCTCTCACCCCATCCCCACAGCAAACCCAGCCACCAGTGCTGTCAGAGCTCCCTTCAAGATCTGTCCCAAACCTGTCCACCTCTCTGTCCAGCCTGGACCACCATGACAGCCTACTAAGGGCTCCAGGCCTCGTACCCCTGAAATCCATTCTCCAAACTGCAGCCAGAGTGACCGCTGCACCCTCCTGCTCTGAGCTCCCAATCACTGCCACCACACGGGGGCAGCCGCCTACAGGCTTTGTGCTCTGGCCTCTGCCAAGCCCCGACTCCCTCTCTTCTGTCTCTGCCCCTCCGGCCCAGTTTGCCTCAAATACCAGCTCCTTAGTTGTGTGAGTGTGTTTTTCACGTACTGAAGCTTGGTCACCATTCGGGGCCTTCTCATAAGCTACATCCTCTGCCTGGAACCCACCCTGAACTAGTCACCGCAGGCCTGGCCTTTTCTCATCCTCCAGGTCTGAAAATCCCCATTGGAAAATACCTTCCTGACTACTTTACGCACGGGAGCCCTTGGTCACTATCACATCACTGTTTCATTTTCTTCACATCCTTTATCACGGCCTGAAATTGCTACAGACACTTGTTCACCCGCGCTAGTCCTCTGCTCACCCTACGAATGTAGGTGTCCTGTTGGCAGAGATGTTGTTGGTCTGACCCACGCGGAGCGGCTCAGCCAGTACTGCATGCGACAGGCAGGCAGGCCAGCGCCGAGGCTCAGCCTTCAAATCGTGCCCGTGCTGTGTGGAGTGGGCCACCTCAGGCCCCAGCCTCCACCTCCCACCCAGTCACAGCCCGCAGCCAGGCCAGGGCCCTCCACAGTCGCGCCGAGGACAAGCAGCACCTTCGGCTTCCATTCTCACGGTCGCGTCCTTTCCACGCAGGGCGCTGAGCCCTTCCGAGGGCTCTGAACTCCTCAGAGGGTTTCTACCCTCATAACTGGAGTCCCACAACCATTCCTCTGCTTCCTGACTAGAAACAGACTAAGTTCCAGAATATTTTTCTCAACAATTACAAGGCTGGGGGTAGAAGGGGAAGGTATGGCACAATGAATTGTGCTTTGTATGTTTAGAGCTGAAGATATTTCTTCAAGTAAATAAAAAGACCCAGCAAGTTCAGGCTTGGTGACTTCCTCAGTGGGTGGACTATTATTATGTGGTTTAAGCCTCTAAATGCCTTCCTGGGAAAGAACCTGGCTGCTGCCCAACCCCACTCCCCCATTAGCTGGTCTCAGCAGGGGCCCCGACGCCCACCTCTGAGAGGTTCCCCCAGAGCATCTCTGCGGCCACCAGGCCTTGACCGACATGGTCCCAGGCACCCAGAATCCCTAAGCGGCTTTCCCATACGAGGCTGTCTAATTAGGAGACCACTGTTTTCTAGCAAAGTCTTCTTTTTCTGTTGGTTTCAACATGCCTATTCACGTTTTCCTCCCTCTGTTGTAAAGGCTCTCTTTGGAGTTCTTTCAGCACTATAATTCGATTTAAAAAAAACCCTCAAACTCTTCTGATTCATGATTTTAGGATTCCATGAATTTGGCTTCTACTGAGTCTAGGTTTATGTGTATGTACTTTTGGAAGCTTTACTATGTAAATTAATAACAGATAGTTAAACTACTTAAGAAAAAAGTACATTAGAACATTAGTTTTGTGGAAATACATGGTACTAATTGCAAGCGTGTCCTAATAATCATCAAAATATGTCCGGCAGGATCCTCCTCAGCAGTTCCTTATTAGTGTTACTGCATAGACTTGAAAATAATGAAGGTGCATTCCTTAAAAAGAATTCTACAGCAAACCCTCATTTATCCAGAAGTCACGTACTCTGACGCCCTCAGGTATCTGGAATGCAGTCAAAACGCTCCAAAGCTTGGAACAGCCACAACGGCGACCACACACCCCTTCTCCCAAGTCCAAACACGCCGCTCATCCTAAAGCTCTTAAAAATCTACCCTCATGCCCCTTGTGCTTATCTGACAACCATTTTAATTGGAGTGGATATCAAGATTCCCAGTCCACACCAGCTGACAAGAGGCAAACCAGAGAGGACAGCGAGGGAGGAGGAGAGGCAGGCCCGTGGTGGCAGCAAGGGCAAGCGTCACAGATGAGGAGGGTGGGAACCGGCTACACGGCTGCTAGAACACACACCCCTGTGTGGCCCAGACCCGTCAGCAAAGCATCGCTCCAGTCTGAACTGACTTTCAGCTCTGCCTGGCAGGCCTTCAGGTTAAAATGAAGGGTTTCCCCACAATGACTTACAGGCCGGAGCACCTGCCCATCTGTCTAGCGCTGAGAGAAAATCAGTTAAGAATTGATTCTCATTCTTTCAGAGCATCTGGTGCTGTGGGAAGATATGGCCGTCAGGACGCAGTTAAACAGGCGCACAGGGCAGCCAGGAGTCAGGGCCAGCATCAGTGGTGCCGAGACAAACGGGGTGACGGGAGGGGCAGGCTCCCCATCTCTGGAGGTTCTGCTCGTACCAACTGAGGCTTTTGTAGAAGGGATTCAGAACCCTGAAGGGGTGGACTGGCTGAGCCCAGCTGAGGTCCCTCCCTATCCACGATTCTCTGCTTCTGCACTTAACGTCTTCAGCACCTTCCAGGTATGCAGCACCCAGCAAGGTTCTGTGAAGGAATAACGAAGCCATGGCCACACCTGCAAGGAGGGAACACCTGGGCCACCACGCTGCATGTCTGGAGAGTGTTACCCACACTAGAGGCCCTCACAGCCAGGGAG